TTTTATTTTAGTTGGCACCGAACACACCGAACACAGGCGGTTCAAGAAAGACTCGCAGCAAGTTTTATTACAAGATTGGTGTTACTGATGCATCTTTGGCTCAGACATAAGAAGACTACAAACCAAAAGCGCTTAAAATTCAACGAGAATTGTTCGAATAAAAAAAAACTGATGATACAGCATAAATCAAGTTATGTAAAGCTTTGAAAACAATCTAGATTTTGATTATCACGATTTATTATTGATCAATTTTGTGTTAATTACTGAAATACAGCCATAACTGGAAATAAATGACTTTCTTACACTATTTTATCTGCGTGTGTTTTTAATAAATTTTAAATAAAAGTAAATTTCTAATATAAATTGACTACAGTATAGTATATATATGTTTGTATACGAATATACAATTTTAAATGATTTATATGATTTTAAGAACGTACAATATTGATTTCTTTTCCTGTCAAATAGTGCCATCTCTTATTTCTTAACCGTAATACCTTAAGTCGTGATTTTGACTGTCAGTGATATTGAATTCGTTAGATTTAATTAAGCAAATTAAATGGAAGCCACAAGTTAATCAGTGATGTTCTTAGCTGCTCAGTTCCCAGTCATCTGACATGTTTCGGGTCAAAAACTGCTAATCTGTCATACATCATAGTGTATATCGTTTTAGTCTTATGACCACACTTGGCAAACATCCAAGCATTTTTATGACTGGAACTATGAATTACTATGATCTTGAAAAAGTCTTCTTAATAAAAATTTGGAGCACGCATAAATGCTGGAATAGTCGTTGCAGCGCCAGGAAACGCACGTACGATCACGTTACGCGCGCACGCGCCGTATCTAGTTGGACGTCGCGTGACACTTGGTCATTGGTGCTTGGTTTAATATAACGGGTGATACTCGTAAAATATTTGTTCCAATTATTACCGTCACGTCGACGAGTCCAACTCGGCGCGCGTCCTGGTAGGTTATAAACGTACAACACTTGGTTAACTTGTCATACGTTGTATGACCCGCCACGCACGAATGCGCGGCTCCCCCTGTATCGTATAAACTCTATAGTGAAACGACCGTGGGGGCCACGACGTGATACAATGGTTGACGGGTGATACTCCATACTCTTAAAATATTTGTTTCAATATTACATTGTCGGATGTTACTCGTCTTAATTTCTTCGAAGTAGCGCGCGCCGCTTTCTTCTTGAAATAATTGGCCCGATGGCAAGTGTTAATGTATTAGATTTTATTAATTAATAAAATTGAATTTGATAAATTATTAATGTTGATGGAAAAATATACTTATTTAAATTATTTTTTATTTAGTGCAATGATATTTTGTAGACACTTGTGATGATGTTATGTGTTATGTCATATTATATAATAATCTTTACTTACTTACTTACTTACTTACTTACGAAGTAGCGCGCCGCGCTCATGGGCCAGACCATTATAACAATGGTCAAATATTACAGGACCATCGACGAGTCCAACTCGGCGCGCGTTTTGGTAGGTTATAAACCTACAATTCATGTCATGTTATTAAGCGGTGCTCAGCCTGTCATTCTGCCGAATTGTTATTGTTTATGACCGGACCATTATAGCCTGGGGTTTCCGGGTAATTGTCATGTTACCTTACTTGGCATGCCAATGCAATCCATATGCGCGGCGCTTTTTCTAGCTTCTCGCAGAGGAGAGAAATATCTGTGAGAGAAGCAAGCAAAACACTAGTAAGTTAAATAAAGTCACGTGTAGCAAGATGTACTACTTGTGACTTGGCCGCCCTGTGCATCAAAATGTTTAATATCGCAACATTGCCATATCGTAGCAATTGGCAATGCCCTAATATAATGCAATTGATCTGCTACGAGCTGCGAATCGTCAATGGTCAATATGAATAAACTTGGTTGTACTTTAGCTTTTTTGTTTTTAAGTTTTTAGATTGTTCTTTAAAATGTTGTTAAATTATTTTGATGCAGTTACCAGTCACTCAGATGTGTTTTATAAAAATATGTTTTATACAAATTTGAGGAAAGTGAAGTGTCATGGTATAAATATCATGACACTTCACTTTCCTAAAATGTTGTTTTCCTTTACAAATTGTATAAAAGAGCATATTATCAATTATTGTCATTGACAGGACACATATCCTTACATATAACTTACACATACCTACCCATATACTACCCACGATAAGGGGCCATAATTGTTTCAATTAATTGTTTCAATTATGTAACTATATATATTTATTTCTATTTCTATTACTTTTGTTTGCAATGTCTTTAGATTAGTAACAATTGGTAATTATTTTCATGTTTGTGTTGTACAGATATTGTAAAATTTTCATATATTTTCAACAACAATATTTTCGAATGGTTCTATTTTATAACCTTTTACTGCTGTACTGTAAAATTTGAAAAGTATTAAACAAATAACTGTCACGGTTTGAACTTTGATAGTAGTTAGCAAACAGCTGATGTCTAAATTGTCAACAATTGCTACTAAATTCTGGTCTGACTTCGTCCATTTATCATACATGCAATTTTAATTACATCCATTTCTTTCTTGGTGCACGATTCAAAGTTACTGTTGATAAGCCTGTTTATCCCATAGTAAGTAGCAAGCATAATGTCAGGCTGGGCCCACTTTGTGGTTATGTCTTGCTGTTTTTAAAGTTTCCTGAAAAACACATTTAGATTTGATGTCTTTTAAATTGCCAATCACGCCTGTTATGCTTTGGAGTATGCTATAGACATAGATCTAATTTTACATTTTCAGTAGGTCTCGATTCGAAATGACAGACTTTGATAAGCTACCAAGCTACAAAGCACTAGAAATCCTTGCTGAAAAGTTGAAGTCAGCTCATATCAAAAACTTTTTCGCAAATGACCCAAACCGGTTTTCGAAGTACAGTCAATCAATTGAAGTCGATGGTCTGAAGCTTCTTGTTGATTACTCCAAAAACAAAGTTGATGAAGATGTTTTTGGTGAACTCTTAAAACTTGCTAAAGATGCCAATGTTGAAGATATGCGTGACCGAATGTTTAAAGGAGATGAAATCAATTTTACTGAACAGCGAGCTGTTCTACACATAGCATTAAGGAATAGAAGTAACACTCCCATTCTTGTTGATGGCCAAGATGTTATGCCAAATGTGAATAGAGTTTTAGAAAAGATGAAAGGCTTTGCAGACAATCTTAGAAATGGGATCTGGAAAGGGGTGACTGGTAAAGCAATCACTGATGTTGTTAATATTGGTATAGGAGGATCTGATCTTGGACCAGTGATGGTGACAGAAGCTCTAAAAGCATACAGGGGCAATGGACCAAACGTTCATTTTGTGAGCAATATTGATGGGACCCATGTTGCTACAGTCTTAGAGAAAGTTAACTTTGAGACCACTCTCTTTATTATTGCAAGTAAGACCTTTGGAACCCTTGAAACCTTAACAAATGCTCGCACAGCACGTGAATGGTTCATCAAACATTCTGGGGATGCAAGTGGAGTTGCAAAACATTTCATTGCACTCTCTACAAATGCAAAACGTGTGAGCGAATTTGGCATTGACACTGCTAATATGTTTGAGTTTTGGGATTGGGTTGGAGGACGTTACTCTTTATGGTCAGCTATTGGAATGAGCATCATGTGTCATATTGGAAGTGAAAACTTCTTCAAATTTCTTGAGGGAGCACATGCAATGGACAACCACTTCACCTCTACACCTATGGAGAGAAACATCCCCATCATACTTGCTGTGTTAGGAGTGTGGTATAACAATTTCCTAGGTGCCCAATCGCATGCACTATTACCTTACGACCAATACATGCACAGATTTGCAGCCTACTTTCAACAGGGAGACATGGAATCCAATGGTAAGGGTGTTTCTCGTGAGGGCACCCGAGTGAAGTACAGTACTGGGCCCATTGTTTGGGGAGAGCCTGGCACTAATGGTCAACATGCATTCTATCAACTTATCCATCAAGGAACCAAGCTGATACCCTGTGATTTCATCATGCCTGTGCAGTCCATGAACCCTATCGGAGACCACCATGAGATTCTCTCATCTAACTTCCTTGCTCAGACAGCAGCCCTGATGACTGGAAGAGGCAACGAAGAAGCCAGGAAGGAGCTGAGTTCCATGTCTGCTGAAGATCAGGATAGGCTGAGTGTCCACAAGGAGTTTACAGGAGACAGACCCACCAACAGTATCCTGTTTACCAAACTTACCCCTGCCATGCTTGGAGCTCTCATTGCCATGTACGAGCATAAGATCTTTGTCCAGGGAGTCATGTGGAACATCAACAGTTATGATCAAATGGGAGTTGAACTAGGCAAGATTCTAGCTTTGAAGATCCAACCGTTGTTAAAAGATGATAAAAAGGTCCATTCCGAAGATTCTTCTACTAATGGACTTATAAACTTCATTAAAGAAAACAGGAAATAGTTCACTGGTTATAACATTTATATGTCGGTGTCACTGAACACTGATCCTTGCATGTTTTTGTTGTAGATTTTTAGAATGTTTAAAGAGTATTTCGTAATTGATATGAGCATGGTTAACCATCATTTTGTAGTGCATTTATCACTAGTTTTATAGTCATAACGTAGTTTAAGGTATTTAATGACGTCATGTCATGACGATATTATCATTTACAAATCGTTTCATAACTTTTAAATAGAATTTTGACTAATAGAATTTTAATGTGACTATAATATTATTATAATATAATTACGATGTATTTTAATTTTGTTAGAACAAAATAATTCGTATTACTGAGTCTGAACTCTGTTGTTACTCTTTATTTTACATTCAAGTTCTCTGTGAAATTTTACATTAGCTATTTTTAAGTACATTTGTAAAAGTGGTTCAACACAGTTTTATTGTGTACCTCTGACGACGAAATACAACATATTATCATAAGTAAATGATATGTTCCAATTTTAAATCATTTAAGTTAATTTAATGTATAACTTGCCTCAACATATCAAAACGTCAGGATGACAGAAAAAGAAGAATCAGCAGAACAAAGAGAAAATCCAAAAGATCCCCCAGAAAATGGCAGTAAAGGAGAGTTGTTGGGGGCTGCCAAGAAGCTTCCCCCTGGCAAGAGACAGCTGAAGAAACAGGAGTCAACGTTTTTGGAAGGAACAGTATGATGTTAGGGGACACTAAAGTGTAAGTACTCCGAACTTTAATAATCTTTGATTTTCCAGTCCAATTCTAATCTTTAAATGAAGAGGGTGTGGTCAATTTCGTATTTGGTTCGTTGTTGTAAAACTCCGTAACAAAATGTTTAATGTGCCGCTCAAGGGTATTTCTAGAAGTAGCCTCTTCAAGTACCCGCACATTCCATCTGCCGGCAGGGTAACTGCTCTTCTTCCCGATGAGTTGGTGTTTCATCCGTTTGAAACCGTACATCATGAAGTGATGTCGAAACCCAGACTGTAAAAAATGCCATGTGTAATGTGTATTTTGCTTTACTCCTGAGAGTTTTCCCAGTGTCCTTGTAATTTTCCTCATAAGCTTTTAAATAACCGCTTTCTTTGTAATAAGATTCTAAATTCGATTAATTCTTAGTGATCGAAAAATTGTTTGGTGTCACTTTAATGATACTGAAAAAGAGCAATTTAAAATTTAAATTTTTAGAAATGCTGCCATCCAAAGGTGTATTATTTTTTTGGTTTTCCCAAATTTCCAATTCCAGAATTTCCTTTTTTAACCGAATTTTTTTTTTAACTTTTTTCCGGGAGACATATGATATAAAATTCTTAACCATATTAAATTTTAAAAATTTCAGGGTTAATTTTGGTGAAAAAAGGGTTGACAACAGGTAAAATCCAATTTTTTTTGGAATTTGGCAACTTTTATTTTTCCATAAATTAGTTTTTTTTTTTTTACCCAAAGATTTTTTTTTACCCCCCCGGGGGAAGAAAGCCGGACCCCTTACAAATTATTAACCCCAAGGAATAATTTTGGCCTTTGGGATAGTTAAAGCCAGGAATATTTCCCCAAATGTAAATTGGTGCAAAACTGCCAAGTATTCGGATTTTAAAAATGATTTTTGGTCGTGTTACCCAAAAAAAAATTTTTTAACGAAATTTTTGGGAAAAATGTTGACAACTGCTCCCCCATTTTGTTTTAATTTAAAATTTTTCCTTTAAAATATTAGTTTCGTAATTTATTTATTTAGGGGATATTTTCGGGGTTTTACCCGTAAAAACCCCAACTACTCCCTTTAATTACCAAATAAAATCACTTTTTTTCCCCTTTTTTCCCCTAAATAAAGGTTTCAACTGAAGTCTATTTTTTGGGGAATTTTTATTTTTTGAAAAGGGAACAATATTACCTTGTTAAAATTAACCCGCCTTTAAGGGAACCTTTTCACTTTTTTTTAAAGGATTTTTCCGTTCCCCTTTTTGGTTTTATTAAATTGGCAACTTTCCCAGGTTTACATGTTTACTATTGCGGGTGTTTGTTTTTCCCTTGGGGGGTTTTGGACCAGGGAGCTTGGTTAACCACATGCTATAGTAAAAAATTTGTTTTATTCCCTAGGTATCTTTCTTATTGCCCTTAATGGGTTTTTTTTTTTTTTGCCCCACTTATTTTTTTTGTCTTTTGGGTTATTTTTTGGTTTTTCCCCCACGTTAATTGGTAATTTAAAAAAAAATTTGGGACCCATTTTCCTGTTTTTGGTTTTTTTGAAAAAGTAAACCCCCGGGGGGGGGGGGACGGCTTTAACTTTGTATGGTTCGGACTTTTTATGGTTTTTTTTTAAAAGCATTCTGTTCCTCAACTTTCTCCCAAAGATTCTTTTTCAAAAAAGGCGACCTCTAATGGAACGGTGCCCAGGTTCCCCGGGGGAACCAAGAAAATGGTTTTTCTTCAATCTTGCAAGAAAGAGCACCTCCTTTATCATTTACGACAAAAGGGTTTTTAGTACGGGAAAACCCTTTAGTAGGAGAAAATAAAATTAATACTAGTAATTTTTAGTATTAATAGATAAATAGTAGTTTAGTACGTAGTTTACGTACGTGAATAAGTGGGTATGTTGTTTAAGTATTTGTGATGTGTGGGAAAGGAGGTTTAACAGGGCCCGGAAATTTTTAGTGGGAAAAATCTTCCAAAGTTTTAAAAAAATACCTAGCCGCCCAAGAGCTTCCCAACTCCCAAAATTTTCCATAATAAAAAGAAATTTGGGACCCAATAAATTTTCGGAATAAACATGGGGGTCTTCAGGGGGGTTTCGGAAAACTTTTTTGGAACTCAATCTTTTGGGATCGGAAAATTTTACCCCGCATTTTTTTAATGAATTCCCACGTTTGTTTAAAACCACGTTTAAGCAGGGAGAGAAAATTTCATTTTTTTTATTTGTAAAGTTCGTCCGTTTTGGGACTTGTTTTTTTTTCCCCAGTATGGGGGTTCCAGGGTTTGTTTGTTAAATCATGGGGCCCGGTCCTTTTTGTCCTTCAGATGTTCCCGTTGTACCCCATTTTTCACCTGTCTTTCAGGTTTTACCTTGGCGGTTGAACTTGTTAGTATGAAAAGTAAACAGGGGAATTAATTAAGTACTAAGGGCCGTACCAAAAAATACTTTATATTTTACATTTCCAGGGGGAAAAAAATTTGTTTTTTTTTTGGGTAATAAACTGAAAACATTCTTTATTTTTTTTTAAAATTTTTACAATGATTAATAATTTAGGAGCTGACATTTAATGTTTCATAACCCAGGGTTTTGTAGGAAATTAGGCACCTTTTTATTTTAGGATCATGTTAGTTTGGGCTTTTTATTTTTTTTTTTTAAAAGGATTAAAGGATATCCCATATGGGGGTATCCCCCATAGGGGAGGTAATCCCCGCCCCCAGCGGGGGAAGTTAAAACCAATGGTAACATGGCGATTATCCAAAAAATAGTTTTTTTTGTCCCAGTGATCCATTTCTTTTTTAGTTGCCCATTTCACCAACCCTCTGCCCCCCCCATTGTTCTTAAACCCCCCCCCCCCCCCCGCCCTTTTCTTTAAAAGGGTTTGTTAAACGCGCGGTTTTTATGCGTTCTTGTCCCTTTTTGGTTTTGGGTGGGCATTGTTCCCCAAGCCCTTTTTTTAAACAGGTTGGGTTTAAATTGCCCCTCCTTTAATACACATAACCCATAGGGGAACCAATAAAACAAAAAGTTTTTTAAAAACAAGAAGAGTTAAATTGGTGTTCACGCGGTTTCCATAAACCCGTCTTGTTGACCAGGCCATTAATTTTTCCCCTTGGTTTTATAAGAGGGCGGTAATTGATCCCGTATGTATTTGTGAAGGGGTGGTTTTTTTGGCGCCAACCAAGGAGGTCTCCTTCCCCCTTCTTTAGTCTAGAAAGACAATAAAGGGGTGTCCCCGATAATCCTCCCTTTTTTTTCCCTTTTAACTAAAGAAAATTGGCCCTTTGGTTTGATCCCCATGTTTTAAATGAAAGAAAATATAATAGAATGAAAGCCCTGATCTTCCTTGAAGTTTTGGTCATTCCCATAGACCGACCGTTTTAAAACACAAAATGCTTTTTTATGTTTTTGCCCCTATCCTTGGTTAGACTTCACCCCCCCTCCATTCCAATTTAGGGTGGGGGACAAATAGAACAAAACAGAAATTTATTTAACCCTCGCCCATAACGCGTTTTATTTTTAGTACCCCAGGTGGGGTGTCCATCCCTAAATACGTGGAAAAAGATTTTCCTTATTTTATTAAAAAAAGAAGTTTTAGGTTATACTTGTATAATAAAAAAATAATAAAGAAATTATAATTTGGTAATTTATAAAAACAACTGCCTTTTTCTAAGTTTGAAAGAAACCTGTTTTAACTCAGCCTTGTGGGGGTTGGAAGATAAAACTCACGCATAAGGTCTCACAAAAAGAATTAATTGCCACAAATAAACTCAAATCCTTAAATTAACAGCCCCTTCCCGGCCAAATTAACACCAAAATATAATAATTTATTAAAACTCCCGAGTAATATTAATTAAACCAACATGGGGGTTGCCCACTGATATATAAAAAATAGTTAACGCTTGGGGGGGGAGTGAAAAAGAGTTTGGGGTTCCCGTTGGGTTAGGTGGGGTATAAATTTGCCCACCAACCGTTGTATTCCCCCCTTTTTGGGTCTAAAGGAGGTTTATAGAAACCTCACGAGAGTAAAAATTAGTCCTTTTTTTTTTTTCTGTTAATGGGTAATTTTAACCTTTTTACAAAAATTGCCCGCTTTTTTCTCCTGTGCTGGGTCCCATCACAGTCCCTCAATGTTGGGAAAATGGAAATGGTTTTTCCCGTTAGTCAAAGATATTGCCCCTTTTGTACCCCCCTAAAAAATCCCCCTTGCAATTTCTTTTACTTGGGAGGCTATATATACATAAGCTGCTTAGCCCATATCCCCGATACATTGGGTTTTTCGATACCTGTTTCTCTCCCCCCTATATGATTTAAATTTATCTCACCTCCCTGGGTGTTTTCCAGAAGACCCCTCTTCCCTCCCTACATGCAACTTACCAAATCTCTCTTGACCAAGAAATCCCCGCCCCCTTCCCCCCCTAACTGTCTGGGTAAAATAAAGAAAATAATCATGAAAATAAATTTTCTGGCTTTTGTAACTCCAATAAAGGTTTTTCAAGATGGAAAATGTTGCCCATGTCGAATCTCCTGGCTCATAACGGTTCCAATAAAAACTAGAGCACACATTTTGTTCTCGTATGTATACGGTCAAGGTAGTATTCTTAAATTTATCCAAGGATATCTTTTTTTTTGTTTAATGAAATGTCAATGTAGCGGCTAAGTATATTTTAAAGATTTCATATACAGCTCCCTACTAACCGCTCAGGTTAGTGGCACGGGAGGTTTTGTATGGGTTTTTGAAGAGAAGGGAGTTTTGAAGAGTTTTTAGCCGCGATAAAAAGCTGGGTTTTGGAACACCCTTTTTCCCCAGATATCTCCCAGTCTACCCGAGAAATAACGCTGAGGCACCAGTACCCGAGATGTTTAGTTACATAAAAAAAACTCCCTTATGGGATGACGAAGCGGAATTTTGTAAGCGACTTTATCGAGGAGAAGATTTTTAAAAGGGTTTTTGGAAAATATTGGTAAAAATGAAGAAAAGTTTAGAATAC